TTAGTTGATTATTGATGCTTAAAGTTATCAATGGGGTCTTTAGCTTAGTGGTTAGTATATGTTTACCTTTAGGAAAGATTTAGGGTTTAATTATTTTACTGATTCAATTATTTAGTAAAGATTCAAACTGATTCACAGGTTCCATTGACGGTGTTTTTAGATTATTAAGCGAATGAGGTAACCATGTCTCGACAAAACCTATTTTCCTTGCTATATCTTTACTTATTGGCTCCTTCGATATATGATTTTGTGTTTGAGTCTTGATAGAGCTTTGACTAGGGTTTATATTGTGTTTATGTGATAATCTTGATAATCTTGATGTTCTTGATACTATGATTGATTATATGAACGATCTTGTATTTTGATTATGTCTAGAGCCCTAGGGTTATATCATGAATTTCATATTATGATGTTTTTGGTATATTTGGGTGGTATTATGCATGATCGGGTGTTGAGTCTAGCCTAGGACTTGCGTTTAGGACTTTGCATATAGCTTTCTTGATGTTCTTGTGGTTCCGGATGTTCCTGAATCGTTATATGATTTATGTTAGGTCTTGGTATGTTTAGGAATCGTGTTAGGATGTATTTGGTGTGATTCTTGGTTTAATTCCGTTAATTGAATACGTGGTGTTGTCATTATGTGTTTGAATGTGTTTAGACATGGTTTCGGGTTCCACGAGAGATCCGGGACCGAAAGTTGCCTATGTATCAGTGGGGGGTAGGTGGGGGGGGGGGGGCTGACCACCCGCCACCTACCCGCTGCCCGTGTCGCTGTTCCAACGGGCAGCCGCGCGCGGTGGTCTGCCCACCGGCCACTGCTGGAATAGCGTGTGGCCGCCGGCGGGTGGCCCTCCACCCGCCACCTACCCACTGGAAATCGGTCGAGTGTCATGATGATTTCCCCCGTTTGATGTTTCCCCGTGTCCCGTTGTATCCCGTTTGTCGTGTATGAGTCTCGTTTGGTGTTTTAGGCATCGTTCTAGGATTTTATGTGTATTACGTGTCATTGTTGTTGTGTCTTGATTGTTATGTGATTATGTGTTGATTGATTGAATGATGATGAGTATCGTGGTCATTGCGCAATGAACGGTGTGAATGATGATGACGATGATGATGATGATGATGATGATGATGATGATGATGATGATGATGATGATGATGATGATGATGAGATTGTGATTGGTGGAAAAGAATTGTTGGCGGTTTGCACCACTTGTGCCCGGTCATTGTACTAAAGGTACATGCATAGTGGTGACTGTGCTAAAGGCGCACACCCACCTTAGACTTGCTTGCCGTTGAGCATGGGGTCAGGTTATAAGTGTTGCGGTGTCATGTTAGAGCTATATGCGCTAACCCCTTGATAGTGGGCACTAGAGGTGCGGATCAATGAATGGCACTGCGACACCATCTTGATATGTTGGTGGTTGATAGGTGGTTTGTCGGTGGGGGAATGTAGTTGCCGGAGGCATAAGGGGTGGTGATATAAGGGTGGCCTGGAGGTATAGGTTGGAACTGATATAAGGACGGAGGGGAGCTACAAGGTTGGAACTTGGTATAAGGTTGGAGGTTGAATTGTGTGCTTTGATGACTACTTGCTAAGTGAATTTATTGAGTGCCTTAGTTGCCTCTACTTGTTATTTGCATGCTTATCTGCATGTCATGTCTTGTATTGCATGCTTAGGGTGTCTATTAGTTCTTATGATTATCCTATGATATTGGGTCTGTTAATATGCCTTGAGTCTTGATCTTGGATTTAAACTAGAGTCTCGTAAGTATATATGTATTCCAGTTTCAAAATTAGTTTCTTAATCTACCTATATTGTACTTAACGTGTTGGAGTGGGTTACCAGCATTATTCGCTGACGGTTGTTACACCGAATGTTTTTCAGGGACAATGAGTAGCTTCGAAGCACGCTAGTGGATTCGTGGACTTAGTTTAGATAGTTCTAGCCTGGATGAAATGACATGGGTGCCTTGATTTGTATTTGGGTATTAGTTATGGTTTATGCTTTGTTAGTTAGTTTAGCCTGTGCATCTGAGTTCTCCAGCTCAGATGTGGCATAGCACCCCGACTACTATGTCTAGTTTATGCTCTGTTTGGGAATTAAGAGATTAGCCTTTATTTTATAGGTTTTAAATATCTTGATATTTAGGGGTGTTACAATACTTGTATTAAATTTAGAACCCTCATAATGTGACCCATGAGGGTTTTTATACAAGAGATTTGGGCCTTGAAAAAGGTAAGAAAGAAGAAATTAACTAAATTAAACTTAGGAAAGTTTCTAAAACTTCTAGATTAACTTCCTAATAAGAAAAAAGGAAAATTCATCGCCACCATTGGAAAGAATCTCTGCAAAATCTTCGTCCACCGCCTCTGGAATCGGCACCACATCGGAACACATTCAACTGCGTTGAGTGGTCGCTCAACCGGGCTGACTAGCGGCTGAACCAACGATAGGCAAGAACTAGGTCGTTGGGTCCTCTCTCTCAAATATTCTAAGGGATTAAGCTTCACCCTCCTGACTGTCTCGGGGCACACCTGACTGGGTACCTTACTAGGGGTATCCATCACCAATTCCTCACTTTCTTAAAATCTAGCCAGATGATGTCTTAAGAAAGTATAATTTAGTAAGTGTAGTACCCGGGGATCTGAGTACCGATTGCCGAGAAGATTTCCCTCAAATTTTCAATCTTGCAATGTAGTTGAGTGCAAGGCCGCAGCCAGTCAGGCTAATGCCAAAACCACCTAAATCATCTCAACTCCTCGTACACCCCGACTGGTTCCATTTTTTTTTTACTGGTTCCACAAAAGATGTAATTACTGAAGCGTATTGAATACTCCTCTCCACTTCCAGCCAGTTACAATTTTGAAAAAGTAACTCTAGCGTAACCGTCTTTCATCAACTCTTCCAGTTGACAGCAGTCGACTACGCCGCCTCGGGCTATGTACATATCCGTACCTAGGATGGTTGTCGGTTTCTGGATAAGCTAGAGTCCTCCCACAAGGGCTGGAAAGAAGGGTATTTCATCCGGCAAGTTGTGCCTTATGTCGCCATCGACGTACTACCTAGCAATCGTCGTACTACCGCTTAGAGAAGAGGTTTTCTTGCCCGGACGCCTTAGTCAAGCTAGTCAAGAGGATCGACGAGGGGGACCTCATATCTGCCAGGAGATGGTCCCGGCTGCGTGCAATGCAGGTACCAGACATTTTACCGGATGACGCGACTAACACAAGCTCGGGTACTACCCCCTTCTTGACTAACTACCCCTAAGCTTGCGTGCTCATCTTTTTCACTCGTTCTGCAGGGAACAAAGACACCGAGGAGTTGGGTGAAGATCAGGAGGGCGACAACAATGAGCTGGTCGTCCACCACTCCACTGCTTCCGCTGTTGATGTAACACCCAGTGTTACGCCCTTTAATCCCATATTAATTATTTAATTAATTCCGTTAAAGAATAGTTAAAAAGGATTTAATCTGGCCAGGATCCCTTAATTAATTAATATGGTCCACGAAGGACCGTGGGCCCTTGTTTATAATAAGGACTCTTAGTCTATTAGGAATAAAGAATGTGGGCCTTTACTACTCAGATTCTAATTAGGAATCCTAGACCTATATACCTGTTAGGAATACAAAGTAGGTCTTTACTATTCAGACTCTGATTAGGATTCCTAACTCTATAAATAGGGGATTAGAAAGCAATTAAAACCCTTACCACCCACAGTTATATTACACGAAATTATTCCCAAGAGATTCCCCACCACCAAGCCTAGGGAAATCAATCGGATGGAAATCTTAGAGAAGAACCTTAATAGCCAATGGAGGATTAATTAACGCTAAGAGGTAACCCATGTCTTACAAAACCTATTTTCCTTGTTATATCTTATTCATTGGTTCCTTTGATAATTGTGTATGTGATTCTGTGATTGAGTCTTGATAGAGCCTTGCCTAGGATTTATATTGTGTTTATTTGATAATCTTAGTGATCTTGATGTTGTGATTGATTATATGTGTGATCTTGTATTTAATTATGTCTAGAGCTTGTCCCTAGGGTTTATATCGTGAACCTCGTTGTTGTGTTGTTCTTGGTATTCTTGGGTGGGTTTATGCTTGCTCGGGTGTTGATTCTAGTCTAGGACTTGTCTTTAGGGCTTTGCATATAGATTTCTTGATGTTCTTGAGGTTCCGGATGCTCCCGAACCGTAATGTGATTGATGTCGGGTCATGGCATGTTTAGGAATCGTGTTAGAACTTATTTGGAATGATTCTTGGTTTAGTCTTCGTTAATTGAATCCTTGATGTTGTTGTTACGTGTTGGAACGTGTTTGGACATGGTTTTGAGTTGCCCGACGAACCCCGAGCCGGGATTATACATTCGTACCAGTGGGGGGTAAGTGGGGGGACGAGTCCCCACCACCTACCCGCTTCCCGTACTGCCGAGTTCCAGCGGGCAGGCGACTGCCCA